ATCTCAGACTGCCAGCCTCCAAAACTGTGAGAAATACATTGCTGTTGTTTATAAGCTACACAGCCTCTGGTATTTTGTTATAGCAGCCCAAAGAGACTAACACAGATGCATAAAATAAAACACATAGGCATACAAAAGAAATATTGTTGAATGCACTGCTACCAAAATGTATTTAAAATTTGTGATACGTAATATATGCGCTTTTTAGAATTAATGCATCAACTAACAAGATCTGGTGGTGCGTCTAATAGCTGCTATGATTTCAAAGGAGTGATAAGTGTAAATAATATTCTGCCTTGGCTATAATGTGATATAAGGGCATCTGGAATTTCCAGGGGTGACATAGCCATTGGTGCTGCTATGGTTTGTTGTCTCATTCATAACTGAAGGGAGTGCTTTATTTTAGTTAGAGGTTACTGAAAATAATGACTAAGTGCGTTCCCAGATGAGTTTAAGATCCTCTGAACCCTATCTAAGGACCCTTGGGAACACCAGTTAACTCCTGAGTGTGAGGCTGTCCTGTTTACCCTGAAAATGGGTACAGCATTGATGCATGAATTTCGAGGATCTTGCCAAGGTCAGGGAGATTCACTTTTCTTTAAAAGGTCCTAGGTCATTAATTGATTCTTTTAGATAAGAGAGTTTGCAGCAGGATATTAACCTAGGCTCTCAGTATCTCCCCACAGTGAGCTGGTAATTATACTGAGGAAAAAGTACCTTTATGGTGGGGAAGTATCCCAGACATCATAATGCTAATGGCCAGAGCACGTGTCCAGTGTTCAAAACCCTACTAATGGGACAACAGAGAAACCGTGTCATTCCAGAACCAAAATGTGCAAGAATCATCTCAAGGAAGCAATCAGATAAACCCAAATTGAGGAGCTCTCTATAAAACTATGCACCTGTTCTCTTAAAAAATGTCCATATCATGACAAAGTATGGCTGAAGAACTGTTCCAGATTACAGAAGATTAAAGAGATTTGACAATTAAGTGTCTTGCTTAATCCAAGATTGGAGCCACTTTGAAAGCAAAGGTTTATAAAAGATATTATTAGGACAATTGGCAAAATATGAACACAGAAAATATATTAGACAATAGTATTGTATAACTATTAATTTCTTGAATTTGACAACTTTCCGGAAATTACATAACAAGAGTCTTTGTTCTTAGGATTTACACTCTGAATTACTTAGGTGTGAAGGATACATATCAGTCTTGATGGCTCAACAAAAATAAGTTTCTCTCTCTCTGTATTAGATATAAAGATATATATACATATATATATATATATATACACACATATATACAGATAAATACATATATGGAGTGTTTGTGAGTAAATGTGATAAAAATGTTAACAATTGTGAATCTAGATGAAAGGTATAAAGATCATTGTCCCATTGTTACAACCTTTCTGTAGATTTGATTTTTTTCCATAAAACCTTGCAATATAGAATTTAAAATTTTTTAATGTTTTTTAATTTAAAAAGCTGAGATTTTTTTCCCCACCTTGTTCCTCCTTTTTATTATTATTACTATTTTGCAGTTTTATTGAGGTATACTTGACATATAAAGTGCACCCATTTTTAGTGAAGGGTTAAATGAATTCTGTAAATGTACACAGTCCTGCATTCACTGTACTAGTTTACAATCCTTCCATTTCCTCCGGAGGTTCCCTCCTGCCTCTTTGCTGCCATCACTGTCCCCATCCGGACCACAGGACATCACCGATCTGCTTTCTGTCCCTACAGCTTTGCCTTCTCAGTTTCCTCTGAATGTATTCATTCAGGATGTAGTCTTTTGTGTCTGGTTTCTTCTAGTCAGCATCATGTTTTTTAGCTTCATCTGTGTTGTGCGTTGTGGTTTGGATTTGCATTTCCCTAATGATTCCTGAGGGATGCTGAACATCTCTTCATGTGCTTATAGGCCATCTCTTTATCTTCTTCAGAGAAATGTCTATTCAAGTCCTTTGCTCACTTTTTAATCATGTTGTTTTTGGTGGTGGTGTTGAGCTGTAGTTCTTTACATATTCTGCATATTAGCCCCTTATAAGATAAGTAAATTGCAAATATTTTCTCCCACTCCTTAGGCTGCCTTTTTATTCTGTTGATCATATCCTTTGGTGCACAAAAATATTTTATTTTGATGTGGTCTTTAGTCTTTTAAAATCTGAAACAGTTCCTTAGCCTTTCTTTGCCTTTCATGACATTGACATTTTTGGAGAGTACAGGCCATTATTGTGTAGATGAGTGTCAGTTTGAGTTTATATAGTTGTTTCTTTATGAGTTAGCTCAAGTTGCGCATTTTGGGGCAGGAACACTAAATTTTCGAATGTGATCTTTCAGTGCATCTGTCAGGAGGCATGTCACCAGTTTGCCGACTATTACAGATGTGAATTTTATCTCTTAGCTCAAGTAGTGTCATCTTTGTAACTGGTGAGTCTGTAACTGAAAGTGATCTGGAGGAGCTGCCTTAAGATTATGTAAATATTGTAAATTTCCTTTTCCCCAACCAACTCCAACCCAGTAAGTTTAGAATCCATTATGATTCTAGCCTAAAAGGGTGATTCATGATGGATGCAAAATAGAGATTTGATTTTCTACCTGTATTAGGCCCTCTGTACTTATTAGTTGGCATTGTATTTTCCTTTATAATTAAAGAAGAGCTTTCTTTACTCTTCCTATTCATTTGTTCTTTGACATCATTCCAATTCATGGATTCAGTTTTACTCAATGTGTTAGTATACCTCTAATCACTCTGGTGAACTTTACGGTTGTTTTTTCTCATAATAATATGCCTGGGTGTCCTGTGGATCAATTCATAAAGTTCTTCCTTGTTGGTTCGTATAGCAGCATGGTACTCCACTGTGTGGGCATGCTATCATTTATTAAAATAATTTCTTACAGATGGACATTTAGGTTATTTTTAATATTTTGCAATGACAATGATGGTACAAAAAATAACTGTATATACACATTTGTATAGTTAGAGGTAATTCAGGAGAGTAGCCAGAAGTGATATTTCGAGGTTGAAGGGTAAATGCTATGTAATTTTGTTAGATATTGCCCAATTCCATTCAACGGAAGATGTTCCATTTTGAATTCCCAGCAGTCACATTATGTGAGTGCCCACTTCCTCAAAGCCTCGCCACAGAGTGGTTTGTCAAGATTTTGAGGTTTCTGCCTTCTGATGATGGGTGCATTGTAACAAATCTGTGTCTTGTGTGCATAGAGTGTGCACTGTTCCAGCATGTAAGTGGCTCCTAAGAACTTACTTCAGAAAAATGGCTTCTACTCAGGCTCCAAGTGCTTATTCTTCAGCCCCAGCCCCTCTTTCCTTCCTGTCTAGACAGATGAGGTTAGGTAGATGGTAGGAATGGTATCCTCATTATCAGTGTCAAATGTGTCTGGATGTGAGAGGTCACTCAGAACACTTGTGCCAAGTGCTGCCTGTGCGTGGAGCTGGACAACTTACCCAGCCACTCCACTTCCATCTCAGTCCCCACAGCAAGCTCCTTGGGAGGGCACACAGACAACCCCCTCCCCCTTGAGCAGTGAGCAAAAGGAGGCTCAGGGAGATGGAGCGGCTCACCCAGCCAGTATGTGGAGACTCTTGGATCAGAGATCACATGTTTAGATTCCTAGTCCATGCCTGTAAAGTTAGGGAGCTGTTCCCAACACGACCCTCATTTCTGACACCAATGGCAAATTCAGGGGTCTCCACAGCCACCCTCAAGTTCAACAATTCAGTAGAAGGACTTTTAAAACTGTCTGAAACTATTATAATCATTGTTACGGTTTATTACAACAAAAGGATACAGAGTAAAATTAGCTAAGGGAAGAGGAACACAGGGGGGAGTCCAGAAGAGTTGTCCCGTCCCAGTGAGGCCACGGACAGTGTCAGCTCCTTCTGGACACAGTGTGTGACAATACACACGGAGAGTAGCCAACCAAGGACACTTACTTAAGCTTTGCTGTCCAGAATTTCACCTGGGACTTGGTTTTGTGGACACAGTGGGCTGTCCCCATGGCTGACTTCAGTCTCCAGTCTATCTTGGGGGGGAGCTGATACTATGTGACCTGAGCCCTAATCACAAGTCATGTTGTTAGGCCATCGGGCAAGGCATCCTGGTAAACAGAGGCACTCTTACCAGGCAGGACATCCTAAGGGCTTAGAGATCACCTCCTGGGCACCAAGGGCAAAGATCAGATCTCTGTTTGGGCAAGGGTAATTCTTTATTGCACAAAGCCCTTTTCTTTAAATACATGAAGATAAGTGGGGTGCCTGCCTACCACACAGAAGAGCTTCGCCTCTCCGCCCACGTCACTGCAATGGAAAGCAAAAGGTAATCCCACCCGGCTAATGGGCCTGGGCCATGGGAACCGAGCACTTCAGAAGGAGGAGTGGCTCAGGGGAGCATGTACACGAATTTAATAACTGCCATCAGCAAGACGTATAATTGACCCTGGCTACAGAGAATTCGCTTCCAATACTTTTCTCTGCTAATCAAATTCAGAAAAATGCTAGTTTGAGCCCATGTGTCTCTTGAGTCAGGCCTACTAGGCCTTGATAACATTCTCTGATCGATTGCACCAATAAAAGAACCCCTAGGTGGCACCAATTTTCAGTTTGGTCAGGTCAGTAAATAATTTAAAAAAAAAAAAGAAAGGACTCTGAAAAATTAACCATCTCTTCTATCAAATCATTTCCTGGTGGGAAAATGTTACAGTGAAAATTGACTTGCAATTTGTGCAAAAGGTGTAAGTTCACCTCTGTTTGCGTTTTTATCTTAGCTGTGAGAATGTTGTTGATAGTTGGAAAAATATTCCATCCCCAAATAGGACAAAATTCAATAGAAATGAGGCCAAGCCACACTACTTAGGAGGGAGGAGAAGAAAAGGAAGTTACGTCGGGCCTGAGGCCAATGGGGGAAGAGGGGAGGGGTGGGGAGTCCGTGGTGGGTGCAGGGAGAAGACCTGCAAGTGAGGAGTTCTTTTACCTCCCTTCACGGTGCTTTCTCTGCACACACTGGGCTGTCCTGAAGGCAGATGAGAGCTGTATCTGTTCCAAGTTCCCCAGGACACGGACAAAAGCTAAAAAAGACCCAAACCAAACACCTGGGTTACCAAAGCCTTCACAGGGGCTTGTGTGAACCCCAGAGTGAAATAATGAGAAGCCTGGACATTTTGCTCCTTTCTCCCCCACCTTCCCCAATTTCATTCCCACAAAGGAACCTGGAGGTTCCTCCCAGGGATACTTACACTATTACTGAAGAAATATTTACTGAGTTTCTATTAATGGGCAAGCATTGTGAGAGTGATGACGGGAAAACACAGACAATAAAAACAAAGCAGAAAAGTATCAGATGCTGACCACTGACCACTGTAAACCTTGGCTTATGGAGGAGGAGGAGAGTATTTGATAGAGAATGCCTGGCGGGGTGTTGGGGAGGAATTTGGTTCGGACATGCAGGAAAGTCAGAGTACAAGGTGAGGAAGGAATTCATTAAAGCGAGAGTAGTGAGGAATGGCAGCAGCCATGCAGGCAGAGAGAGTAAGGAAGAACGGAGAGACGAGTTCACTGAATCCCTGCTCAGCATATGGCAAATCCCTTGTCAATTTCTAAAGTCAGAGTCACCTGGCATCCAGTGTCCGCTTAGATATGCACAGCATGGGAACTAAGTCCCTACCACACCAGGACTTGGGGGAGCCACGGAGCACTGGGTGGGATGAGATTATGTTCTAAGAACTTCCCAAAGCAAAGAAAGGAGATTTGCAGGCAGGCTACTGAAGAGCACCATCAAGAGCTGTGGTTCTGTCCAGGTTACAGGCAACAGCAACTTGCAAGCCCAAGTCAGAGATCTCAATAGCCTCTCCCTATTTATCTGAAGAGACAGAGTGAAGACTTGTATTTAAGCCTACAGACTAGACTGAAATAGCAAAGTAAAATAAAGATGCTTACCACTGGAAAAGAACAGAGACAAAAACCTAGTAAGTTGAGCAGTGAGAAGTTTATTTAAAGCAAAAGAGGTACATGCTTGATGAAAGTGGAGTGTGGGCAACCCCAGAGAAGAGGCCCACTTAAAAGATGGGATTCTCTTTTAAGGATTTTCAAGAATGGGATTAAAGGTAAAGGGTCGGGGGGGTGTAGACTTGTCATAAGGTCTCATGACGTCTATCTCCAGTGAGAGACAATATGTCATTATGTATAGTCAGTTCTCCAGATAATTCTGTAGGATAAACTTTTTGTTCTTCTCCAAAATAATGACTACCCCCAAGTACTCGGAACATTTCAGTTAAGAATGTTTGCCTGGCCTTAAGATAAGTTGTTGGCTGATTATACCAAAGAATATGTTAGAATATGTCCACCATGGAAAGAGCCAGCATAACAGGCAATGCAGGGGGCTCTCCACCTTCTCCCCAACTCACTGCTTTTAAAATGGAATCTTAGCCTTAAGGTAAGTCTCTCCTATTCTTACTTTGCTATTCATATCTTGGCATTTTTTTAGGAAAATTAATCATGATGCTTGTCCCATGTCTCTGCCCTCTCTCACCTGCATTATTAGCTAGAGCAAGTCTCAAGGTCAGCCCAGATTCAGAGCGCGTGGAATGAACTCACACTGCAAAGGGCATTAACTCTGCGAGTCCCCTCTGGCTCTCTGGTTTTATCTGGCTAACTCTTTGGGTCCCATTTAGTGGGCTTTACTGTCCTTATTCTCCCTCCACCCTCATGTTTATTTTTCTGCCTAACAGGCTGGTTTTCCTTTGGTCAGGAATGGCCTCTTTAAGAAGGTGACACTGAAATAAAGGCTTGAAAGACAAGAACAAGTCAGTGATGTTAAGAGCTTCTGTGGAGAAAGTAAAGGGAAAAAAACCTTGACTTGATCAGAAGTCCTGACCTGCCCCCCAAAATGTGAAATCAAGTAAGATGAACCAAACTGGCTAAGATGTAGTTTCTATACCTCATGGAATGAGTGTTCAAAATATAAATTAAGTTTAGTTATAGAGAAATTAAGAAAGCTACAGTCCTCACCAGGAGAGGGGAAGGCTGGGAAAAGAAGGGGCCTTGGCTGCTCTACAGAAACTCACCAAAAAGGTTCCAGGGGTCCTCCTCTAAGACTGGCCCCTTTGGGGACCCCCATCATTTTCAGCAAGTGCAGCAGTGACAAGCAGGGACTCTGGCATCAGAGGGACAAAGCTTTGAATTCTAGGTCTGTGATCTTGGGCAAATACTTAAAGAGTTGACATCTCGGTGTCCTTTATAAAAGGGGTATAATGAACCATCCCCCTCAGGAGGTCTGTAGGACTGGATGTGATTATTCAGCACAGAGGACCCCAGACTGTGGAGCAGAGCCACACACTCAGGTTCCTTGGGGTGGCCAGAGGTGGCTCAGGGGGAAGTGGGGTTCCCTTTGGTGGTCCCAGGTCTCAGAAAGGCGGAAGGAGTGCCTATGCCATCTGGAGGACTCCTTTCCAGAAAACTGCTGGCAAAGGACAAAGGGCATTATGTCACCATGCTGTTATATAACTGGTTACATAACTGCTAAAGGGAAGCAGAACTCAATTGAAGGCTGAGATTTAACAGAACCAGCTGTAATTGTTTTAAAATGAGCCACTTCCCCACACGACCACGGAAGTAGCCAGCGTAACAGGCAATGCAGGTGGCTTTCCACCTTTGATGGGGCTCTAACTTCCAGTGGTGGTCAACATAAACTTAAGGAAAAGGGCAAGAGTAAGCTCATTTTGTTTTGGGAGGCAGATCAGAATTCAAGTCCTGGTTAGGAAACCTCGAGCAAGTCACCTATTCAAGGTGTGGCCCGTGGGAGAGCAGTACCTGCATCACCTGTGAGCTTGCTGGAAATGCAGAATTTCAGGCCACACCCCAGATTTAGTGAATCAAAGCCTGTATTGTTAACTGGATTTCCAGGTGATTTTATGCAATTTATACGTTAGGTTCGGAGAAGTACTGACTTAACATCTCTGAGCTTTTCTCTCCTAAACAAGGGGCCAAAGTGGCTTTTCAACAATAGAACATAGCCAGCTTTTTAAAAATAAAGACTAATGCATTTTCTTTAGAACAGAGAGTACAAAGTGAAAAGCAAAGTCCTCTCCATCCTACAACTCCTCTCCATGCCACAACACCCCACAGCTCCTGCCCCCCACTAGCTACTCTCTGAACCTCCTTGAGCTTGGCCTGATGTTGGGTCTTCCTCTCTTCGAGGCAGGCATTCCCCTGCTCCTGCCTCACCCAGAAGACAGGCTTCTCTTGAAGCCCTGTTACTTGCCTTGAGTTTGGGGGGTTAGAGTGGAAAACCACCCTTTCCCCCCAAGCCAACCATGCTCTTCAGAAAAATACCCTCTCTCATCTGGCTGATAGATTCCTCCCTTTCTCCTATAAAGCCCACTGGAGAGGATGATTTTAGGTCAAGGAACTGTTCCAGACACCTCTTAGCAATTTATGAGGGGATGTCCTTACACGTCTCTTTGGAATGTCAGGGACTTGTCACTTGGTTTTGGGCCTCAGCTAACATTCCCAGACAGGGGTCTGTTATAGTCTCCCAAATTCGGAGGGCTATGGATTGACCCCAGAGACCTGATCTGTCTCAATGGTCATTTCATGGTCAGCTCCTTCACTGACTCTTTAATTGTGAATGTGACAAGATCAAAATAGGGCTTCCCTTCATGTGGGCCTGTGGATAAAATGAGAGTTCCTGTGGCCAGGATTCTCACCTGGCCATGGTTGACTAGCTCACTGCACACCTGTAGGCAATACATGGCTGTTGACTCTATAAAAAGAGCTCCGCCCAGTGCTCTGGGCGTGACATGGTGACAGGGCTGCAAGGCTGCAGGAGAGCAGAGCAGAGGCTGGAGTGGTGGCAGTGCCGAGGACAGAGGCCCAGAGGACGGCTGTGCGGGATGACTGTGCAGGACAACTGTGCAGTCAGAGAAGCCCAGAGGACAGCTGTGAGGACAGAGGGGCCAAGAGGCAGACACTGACTTGCTGCATACAGACTTGCTCTGAGTGAATGGGATTCCCGTGACTGACCTGCCACCTGGAAATAATGTTCGGTATAACCCTTTCACCCCAAGAACGTTTTGCTGTCATTTTATTTGGTCACACTGAATCCATAGCAAACTTGCCTGGGGCTGAAACCCACTGGCAAGACAACTGGCATAGTCAGCAGGGTTCACTGTTGACCAAGGAGAAAGACAGGCTGCCCTTATGGGAGGGGTGCTTCAGTGGGCTGCCCCTGTGAATGGGGAGACAGTGGATCATTCCCCAGTGGGTATGTGGTCTGAGGTGGTTTGCCTCCTAGAGGACTGGGCCCCACCCCAGGACTGGAGGTTAGTGGAGGTGACACCTGAGGCTGTAGGGGTGGCCCTTGGTATAATAAGTAGATCCTTTGAGAAGCAGAGTGCCTGTGAGGCAGCGGGGACTGTGGGTTGGCTGCTTCTCATAGTGTTAAAAAAGTCTACAGAGGAGACCCAAGAAATGGCGGAACGAGAACATGAGCTGCAAACCTCTGTGGATTCCCTGAGGAAGGAGATGGCCTTGATGTGGGAGGAGGCAGCATGAGAGCGCTGGCAGCAAGGTGCCATTGGAGATGAGATGGTAATGCTGCCAGGTGTTTTGAAGGAGGAAGAGGCCATCAAGGAAAAGGACGAACTCCTGAGGGAAGTACAGGTGGAGGTGGCACGAGAACATCGGCTGTGAAGCATTGAGCTGAAGGTAAGAGACCTTCTGAAGACTGAGCTGGCATTGTTGTGAGGCATTGTAGCAGAAGAGGAAATCGGAGTGGAGAGAATGGTGCCATCAGTCCCGAAATTGAGGAGCTGGGGAAGGATGAAGGGGTGGTGCCGGAGGCTCTGGCCCCTCCTGTATTGAAAGCACACCCAATGGTTGTAAAGAAAATAAAGACCCAGCAGCTGAAAGTTCCCCAAGGAGAAGAGCAGCCCCCTCCCCAGGTCGTGGAGCACTCTATGGACCGTCCCTATACTCAGGCTGAGCTGGGGGCTGTGGGACTTAGGGGTGGATGGAATTGTTCTATCGGGATCAGAGATGGGAGAGCTGTCTTCCCTGACAGTGCAGCCTG